ATAAGTCTCAATGTTAATAGGTAAACTGTAGATTATCTAGAACATACGAAATACAAAATTTAAGTTTACCTTCTTTCTTGTATACACTTCTTGAATAGTAGTAACAACAACTTCAGAACTTGAACATGACCGCTCTATCTTAACTAAAGATAGCATGGATTCTGATTGTATCCTCCTTATAGGGGTACATACAGAGGGCAAACTGTAAAACATGACAAGTATATCATATGTTAGAATCAAAGGAGCTGGAAATCCGAACCTCACCATCTTCAAATAAAAAAAAAAACAAAAAACAAAAAAAAAAATCACAATGTAATCTACTAAAAGAATAGTAAAAGTAAGTACAGTAACTAGAAGGTGAAAAAAGCTCACTATCAAGAAGCCCAGCTCTGCATAACTGAAGTAAAAGTATGATTGGCTCTAAAGAGGTCGAATTAAAATATGGTACCAACTGGTCAACGTGGTCATCCCACACAGTACAATGCAGTTGATTTTCAATTAATCTAGTAGTCCTTCCACCAACACATCTCTCTATGGGGGAGTATATTTCAACTACTCTGCCAATCACATCTAAAAATAAACATGGAAAATTAGAAAAATATATAAATAACTGTAAATTCGAAGAATTAATAATCTAATAACATACCTATCAACACTTTCTCATCAATATCTTGTTTGAGTATCAATGAGGGAAAAGACTTTATACGGAACACATGATTAGGAAAATTAATTCGATTGTACTCCTTAACCAAAGTATCATGTTTAAACTTGAGGATGTAAGGGTGCAGACTCGTTTTATATTTCAAGAAATTGTTGACGCATAGCCAATTTTTTATGCCATATACATTGCCCTCTTTAAACTTACTGGTGTATTTCTCAACTTGCTTTTTAGATATGTGAACATGTATAAAAGTACTCTATATTCATAACAAAGAACAAAACAAATTCAGAATAACGATAAAAAAAATCAGTACAAATTGTTTTCTAACTACCACTAACCTCTTCATCAGAAATAAACATTCAATACTCCTGGTTCTGTTTGCTTTGTTGTTTTCAGGAACTTCATATGTTCGCACTAAGCGAGCTCGAATTGCTTTGGTATGATTATGAGGATTCTTGGTACTTTAGGAACTTAGCATACTCATCTGCAGAGAAGACAACTGTTTTCTCACCATGAGCATCGGAAGACACCATATTAGCAGACCGATTGCCCTGATTTCTATTATGAAGCTTTCGGCAATCCGTCTTCATGTGTCCCGGTCTATGACAATAATGGCAAATGATTGGATTATACTGCTGTCCATGAGGATCCCTACTGTGATATGATGACTTCATAGGCTCCCCCTTTGATTTCTGGGTGACAAGGACACTACTTGACGGAGGAGGTTGATAGGGTCCTGTACGTAGTACTCTAGAGAGAACACATCAGATAGGGATTTGAGCTCCTCACTTGACAAAATTTGGGATTTTGCTGGTTCTAGCCGAGGATGAAGACCAGCCAAAAAACTCATGATGACCATCTGTTCTCGCTGTTTCTGCTGTTCTTTTATATCCTCTGTGAATGGCATTAACTCATTAAGGGCCTCATAAGTTTCTTGAACTCCATAAAATATGTTTGTAGAGGTTTGTCAAGCATATCGGCTCAATAAAAAGCTTTACAAACATCATAGATTCGAATAATGTTGCCCTTAGCCGAATACAAAAAATTGAGATAGTCTAACAACTCTTTTACAGTTTCACAGTGACTAACAAAGCCAAAGATCTCAAGATTCAACCGAGTTCCGTATTTGAAGAAATAACTTATAATTATCACGCAACCAAGTGTGTTTAGTTTTGTCATACTCAGGTGAGTCTTTAGTCATATGGTCATCTTTGTCAATACTACGAAGATATATTTTAATGGGTCGTTTCCATTCCAAATGATTTGAGCCATTTAGTTTGTGTTCTGTGATTCTTGCATTAACTGGAAGAATATCAGACACAACTACATAGTCTCAGACATTAGGCTACCCAACAGGAAGATATCCTAAACCACACAAACAGCCACACAACTTCACTGTCAACAAAACAAAATACAAGAGGGATATTACCAGGGCCTCCAATGCCAAAACTGAGCCTAGAGCAGCGTTGTAGAAGACCGGGCAATCTCGGGAAAAGAAACTGGATTCAATTCCAGTGCCGGAGTACGACAGACCGGGCGACCTCGGGAAAAGAAACCGGATTCGATTCCGGTGCCACGCGCCGGCGCATGGAGTTCCGGCGAGAGATGGAGGCGGCGCGTGAGGTTCACTCGCCGGGCGAAATTGCATCAAACTCGGCAGTCCGGCCTATCGGCGACCGGCGACTCTCCTTATGCTGGAGGTGACAACAGATGGCCGACGAAAACTCCCGACCCAAATCTACCGTGAGCGCAGAAGAAGAAAAAAGAAAAAAGAAAAAAGAAAAAAGAAAAAAAAAATTCTTCTTATAGACCTGGAGCTCTTGATACCATGTTAAACTCCATATGTTTTATATATTTCAATTAAAGGATATACCTATTTATACAAGAGTTTACACGCTAACTATGATAAGTATCGAAATACATCTCTAAGAATATATTCTGAATCCCTAAGATTATGCTAAATATAATCCTACCATATAATGTCTAACAGAGTTGAGAGGCAAGAACAAACTGACCATCCATTCTAAAGGGCTCAATGTGAGTTATGACGCAGAGTTGTTAATCAGTGGTGTGTGTGTTTGAATGTCGCTCTGTGACTGTATGTATATATATACCCAAAGAAGTAGCATAGATAAAACAAATAATCATAACGCCATAGCTACTATTATGAAGCTAAACAGGACTAAAGAGGACGAATCATTTTCCAAGAACGGTACACACCAATGAGATTAAATATAGCTACACTTCTAATTAACTTGAATAATTACAAATGATAAATAAATACCATAAATAAGTTCAACCAATGAAAAAAAGAATTCAAATCAATGACAATCGTCTTATGATACCAATCGCTTTGGGAACCAAAATATCTTAACCATCATCGCAGCTTCATCCGTAAAATCTGAAAAAAAAAAAAAAAAGATCAAACTTTGCACTGGAGAATGGATCAATGTTAGAGGCCAAATCGTTTCAAAGAAAACCAAAATAATCATAACGCAGTAGCTACTATTCTGAAGCTAAACAGGACTAAAGAGGACAAATCGTTTTCCAATAGCAACACACACCAATGAGATTAAATATAGCTATAAAAGAGAAAAAGAGGATTAGACTCCTAATTAACTTGAACACCCATCATCTCAGCTTCATCTGTAAAATCTAAAAAAAAAAAAAAAAAAACAAACAAACAAAAACCAAAAAAAAAAAAAAAAAAAAAAGCAAAAACTTTGAGCCGGAGAATGGGGCAATTCATCGGCAAAATCCCCTCTCTTTATTATAATAAGAGATTATTAGGTATTATTTTATAAATAAATAAATATATACAAGTGTGCGCTAACAAATGCCCAGAAAAGAATTGAGAACCAATCGCACTCATTCACATGTCCAGATTTAATGGATCATATATAATTTTTTAAAAAAATTTGTGGTAGCATTTTCATAAATAACTCGAACTTTGGTGCAAGTAACTGATGCAAGTGTGCAAGTAAAATCACTTAAAAGTGTCACAATTTTCACTTAATAGTGCAAGTAATTACCTTCTTAACGTATTTCACATTGGTGCAACTAATGACAACACTAGGTGCACTTAATATTGATGCTCATTGTACATTATTTGTTGCACTTTTAATACATTTTGGGTTCTCACGGAGTCACGGTAATCAAACTTTAATAAAACTGCTCCGTAATATTTTTTTTTTGCTCAAATAATAGTCAAACTAGTATAATTCACAATATTTAAATAAAAAAATCAAATACTACTGATGGATTATATGAACCCGGGGGTCCGGATTATACAACCCGAATATATGTCGAATGTGATAAACGAATAATAAAATGATAATTGGGGTGTGTATGTAAATGATATTATATTAATCGAACGAATAGTGCTATTACAGAGGTAATCGACGTGTAATAGTCAAACAATTGTTGTAGGAAAGTAGAAGATGCTTGAATAGGACAACTGGGGTTTTTTTATACCCCCCGCCACTACGGGCCTCGGGTCTGCGGGAGGAGCCGCGACCCGCGCCGCAAGACTCGCTCCAGCAAGGACCCGGTCCTTGGCCGAGCACGGAGCTCGGCCCCATGCTGGGGTGGTTCGCCACGCGTCGCGGGTAGTCCGTTGATGTCGGGTCCGACCCGCTCCGCTTCGAACCCGCTCCATGATTATTCCATCAACTACATTTTTTAAATCTTAGAATAGTTAAATATTTCATCAATTCTCAATAAAAAGTGAAAAATGAAATGTCAAGTCCCTCTCACAAATTCTTGATGTAGACATATTTTATGGAATCCACATGATAAAAATAGCCAATCTTTATTTGCCAATTGCCATGTCATGTAGTAAAAGTGAAGGAGTAGAATTTGAGAATACATGTAGTAGAACTCTATTCAAATACTTTTCATGCAAATAAGAACATAAATACACTATTACAAAAATATAACACATCGAATAACCAAATACAATACAACATATCTACAACATATCTACAACCTTAATAATAATAATAATAATAATAATAATAATAATAATAATATTATTATTATTATTATTATTATTATTATTATTATTATTATTATTATATTTAAAAAATGGGGAACGGGACAGGAAAAGGTATCCCGTCCCATCCTCGACAAGAAATAGAAAATATTCTCTATCGCCACTCTTGTTTCTAAATTTTTTTTCTCATCCTCGTCCCCATTTGAACGGGAATTGAGTATCGATTATCAAGAATTCTCATCAGAGCCGAGATATGTAAATAACTTTTATATCAAAATGCATTTCAATTGAATATCTGATAAATTGTTAAAGAATAATTTTACTCCCGGAATTCATAAACTTATATGACTCAAAAGAAAGAGCATTGATAAGTTGTTGCACAAAATGGTTTCACTATGAAAGCAGGCAGCCATGAAAGGTTGGGTTCATACATGTATTGTTTTAACAACATTGTGTAAGAACACTGCACACTAACAATATATAATCTATTACATTAATTAAGGCTTTCTCCCCAGAAGTATATATCAACAAAAGAATTATGCAGTTGAGACCACAAAGTACAACAACACCTCCACTTCTCCATTTTACAATAACACTTTCTTCTTCTTCTTCTATTTACGCAAAGCCGGTAACTGAAACTTTCTGGCCATGGAGCTTTTTCTTGATCTAAATAAATACAAAACAAAACCCGTTTAGCAGTTGATGCCACACTGACCTCTGGCGGCGGCTTTTGCGCTGTCTGACGTGAAGGGGTCGATGCGGACCCACAGCAACGAGAAGATGGAAGCGAGGAGGATGGACCAGACGATGACGATGGTGGGCGTGCGGTTCTGCCTGCCCAGCAGACCTTTGAGGAAAGGGTACAAGTGGACAATGACCCAAATGGCGAAGAACAGCCTCCCAAACAGAGGACCCCACGACTGATACCCGCTGTTTATGGCGAACGAAACTCCCGCGACTATACCCACCAGGTTCACTATAAGGACGGTGGTCGGGGGAATGAGGAGCGAAGTCCACTTGAAAACGTAGAGCTCTTGAAACTCCCCGTCTTCGTCGGATGCCTTTGAGGTGACGGTGAAATTGGTGTCGATCCCAGCAAGCACTTTCAAGAGCCCCTGGAACACCGCAAAGAGATGGGCTGATGTGCCACCGATGACCCAGAACTGTTCGTTTCTCCACAAGTCCTCTATACTCACACCACTCCACCTAAGCTCCAGAATTCCAGTCGCGAAAATGGATATGAAGAGAAGAATGAACCATGCACTAGCGTAGTTGCTTATCTGCAGATTCAAAAACATACGATATATCAAACACATGCAGAGGAAACAATTAAGATATATATATTATGTTAGATTCCATATGACATATACCTCGGGAACAATAAACTTCCCCGTTAGAAGACAGATGGCGGGAAGAATGCAGTATGCAATCAACGGGATTGAAGTGAGAGGATAGACGATGGTGTTAATGTATGCTATTCTCTCCAAGAGCTTCAGTTTTCCGTTGTACCCATACCATATAGGGCAATGACGACTGAGGAAAATTTCGATGGATCCCAAGGCCCATCGAAGCACTTGGTTTAAACGATCAGAAAGATTGATTGGAGCAGACCCCTTAAACGCTGGACGAGGAGGCATGCAATACACTGAAATCCATCCTCTCGCGTGCATCTTAAACCCAGTCAAGATATCTTCAGTCACAGAACCGTAGATCCATCCAATCTAATTAATTGCGGAAAACAAAGCCCGATCATCAATCAATTTGCATTTCAAATCGGTACAAAAGAAGCAAAAAGAATTTATGTTCTAGTGCCAATAATACCTCTTTGCCCCATTCAGTCTTGTCCTCGTAACCACAACTAATAACATGGATTGCTTCTTTCAAGAGGGTTGCGGGGTTAGTAGATGGCGGAATGCCTCCTTGTTCCATAAAGGTGGCAGCGATAAAAACAGGAGACTGACCAAACCGCTTCTCTAAGCTCTTTTGAGACATCAGAAGAGACTTCTCGTCATCATACCCTGCATTACGAAATCGATTCTTATCTCTATCTGCACCCTTTTGATGTACTAGAAAAAAGAAGCTTGTCAAACTACACATGAGAATTGGAAGGATAGTCGAACGTATCATAAATTCCTACCTTCAACACCCTCTTCAATGTCCTCCATATTGAAAATTGGAATAGTGGATTCGGTTCGTTTAGCTGCCCTCTTCTTATCGATGTATTTCTTGTTGCCATTCCTTCCCTTCTTCCGAGAGCCACAACAGCTCTTGACGATAATGTTTGGCTCCAAATCAGCCTCAGTTAAGACCGGATCATACCCATACAAAGCTTGCCTGTTGAAACAACATCCAGTTCCCACATAGACGGGACCTTGAAGCCCATCCAGCCCCTTCAAGTTGATCTGAGAAACACAAATATGAAAGAATAAGCACCCACTAACAGAATAAAAAAAAAAAAAAAAAAAAAAAAAAAAAAAACAGATCCCTTTTGTAAAATTCTTAATAGCCACTTACATCAAAGAACACAATGTTGCGGTTGGCATATCTATCATGCAAGTCAATGCCATCAAATCTCTGGGGGAATTGAACATAGCATGTCTTCTTTCCATAAGCGGGATCCATCATGAAACACATAGCTTCTCTAAGTGCTTTACTGTTGTTGAAGTAGTGATCACAATCAACGTTCAAAAGATATGCTCCATTAGTAAGGACAGCAGACACTCGAATCTGCAGAAAGAATCGAAAAACCTATTATTCAGCCTCCATAGCACTGAAAAATGCAATCATAGAAATATAAGAGTACCAAGCATGAGGTTATCGCCTATCCATTTTGTCATATAGGCATATATTACAAGCATTACCAGGAAATGATCCATATAATATAAATATATGCAAGTCAAAACACAAAAATCACTAGATGGAATCTAGTTATTATCTGTTGCCTACCAAAGCATTCATAGCTCCAGCCTTCTTGTGGTGTTGAAATCCTGGCCTCTTTTCACGGGAAACATAAACCAGACGAGGAAGTTCATTTCCATCTGTATCAAGCCCCCCACTGTGGCCCAAGAAGACCTGTTTATCCAATTCACAGTAATAGCACAAGTTAAAAGATACCTCGATGATTTATGCATTTCAAATGATAAGCAAGCAAGATTCTTAAAAAATAATAAAGAAATTGATAAATACCTGGATCATTCCGGGATGATCCCTAGAGTTGTTTCCAGGCCAAGGGGTTCCATCTTGCATTGTCCAACCTTCCTCGGGCATCTTTTGTGCTTTTGCAACAAGTGCATTGATTCGTACCTTAAATTCTTCATATTCCCTCTGCAAAACAGAACCTTTCGGGTGTTAGAATTTTTGCTTCAATGTCTATGAATAAATCGAGAAGTTTGAATTTCTCAACAAAATTGCACATTAATGGCTATATGCTCAACACGCCCAGTCGCTTATGGGTGGCGATCCGAACCCATGACCTTTGGTCTGGCTCTGATACCAAATTGAAGCATGTGCTCCATCTCAACTAAAAGCCTAAGCTTATAGTTGGATTGCACATTAATGACTATATGCTCAACAGTGAGAAAATCCTACAAGGCCATCTGAAGAGTGAAGCCAATACAACACATGTTTAAATTATGAATTTATATTTTAAATATATGCACCGCATAAATGTTAAGCACAGTATTATCAATGCAACACTACCATGATCTCTTACCTTCATTGCCCTGCGCTCTTTCACAAATGAAGGCTGAATCTTGTCCTTTAGATAATCAATCTTTTGAGCAAAATAGAACTCAGGAGCCCGAGGCTCGATATTGAACTTCTTACAGAAGGGCACCCATTTCCTTGCAAACTCTGCAGTCTCTGAGAGGGATTCAAATGTTAACATTGCCGAACCATCATCAGAAACATAGCACGAGACCTTGTCGACGGGGTAATCCACAGAAAGGATTGACAACACTGTGTTTGCTGTAATGAGAGGAGGCTCCTTCATGGGATCCACAGTACTGACAAACACATCTACTGGTGCTAATTGGGAAGGCTCCCCTTCCCTATCAAATCTGACAAAATGAGAAACAAAATTAATAATATAACAAACCAAAAGCCCACTTCAAATATGGAATTAGAAACCCATCCTGGTGATATAAAATAATAAAGTTTCTTGCAAAGCAATTTCTGACACTAACCTTAATGCAAGCCTGTCTAGGTAGGTCTCACGGTTGATGGGTGACCATTTTGGGAACTGATCCAAAAGCCAAGATAAGGCAAACCAGACCTCACAGATAACTGATACCAGCCACAAAGGATAGGCATCATTCACAGGGTGAGTAAGCCGGTATTGCATGAAAAATCCCAAGATGATCAGCCGAAGTATAATCACAACACGATAGGGAGTAAGGTGAGAAGAAGGAATAGGCACAACGCGACTTAGGGGTTGGCGAGCTTCATCAGCCCTGCCACAAGGTTGAAGCAACATGATAACATTGAGAACACATCCTTGTTACCAACCACATAATGATTCCAAATGATAAAAAGATACTCACATCTGTAGCTCTTCTCCATTCGACCCTATCACTTCAGTATCTCCTCCTTTCCCATCTGAGTATCTGTTGTTCACATGCACCATTGTTTTCTCCTGTTTAAGTTTCCAACCTTCCACCCTCTCTTTCCAGTCAACATTTCCAAGTCCATAAGTACTATTCAAGTCCTTCGAAGGGTCCACAATTCTCACAGGAACTGAAGATATTATAACCCCATCAGAAGTCCATAAGGAAAAAAAAAAAAAAAGTCTCAGACAAATATCTAATGAAGTTTTGAGATAAAGGGAATACCTGGCTGTCTAGGGTCGAGATATGGAACTGAGTGGCCATGCCTGTCACCAGGACCCAAAGGTCCTGACATGCTCCTTACAGATTGAGTATCTGGTGTAGGGATTTCACCAGAAATCTATAAGCATGGTCACATGGGTTAGAAAAATGTTACAAACAAATAATCTTAACATATTTCAAAAAACAAGAAAACAGAATTAAGTTTCAAATAAGAACATATTAATGAAAAAGAAAAATAAAAATACTTCAGTAGTTTTTAAGCCCCATACAGACTGCTAGTATCATACTCTAGTTATTATTTATTGAAAAAGTCATTACCAAAACTCAATGATAACCCATTTCCTTGGTAAACAGTGAATATTCAGTATTTTTTTTAAAGGACACAGAAAGAATATAATACACAGCAAAATATGGTAAAACAAATATTTATTTTTCCATTACAACCATGATTTGACTGATGAAATAAGCAAATAATGGATGATAGTTATCAGAATGTTTCTGAGAGGTAGAATGAGGCAAAGAAAGCATCTCTAAGAACAGATTTTTTATCTGTCATTTGTCATTGAAATCCCAGGTCAGGATGATAGAAACAGTAATGCAAAACATTAACAAAGAGTTGATATCTTGATGCTGTAAGTTTGATCCTCACTTACAGGCTGACGATTCATGAGAAGAGGTATTGGCTGCTGAGACTCATGCCTAGAAGAAGAAGAGAGATCCACATCTTCTCCCTGCCACTGGCGTCTAGCCTTGCTATTCCCCTGGGCATGATTAAACTCATCATCCAGGTCATCACCATCATCTTCTTCATCATCCCCATCAACCCGTGGACTCCCTAACAGTGCCAAAACAAAAGTTCATTCCAATGGTTTTCCAGAAAATGATAGATAAAGATGCAAGAAGAAAAGGGAAGAGAAAGAAGAAAAGGAATAGCAAGTCTTAAATATTCTATTCAGATTTCAGGCAAAAAAAGAAACCTTTTTGTCTCTTGTATCTAGTTTTGCATTGGGGACACGCTTGATTTCCATCTTTGCGCTCATACTCATAACAAGGCCGGCAAACAGGGAAGGCACACTCATTACACGCAACAAATGCATCACCACTAGCAGTCACCCCAACAGCATCACCACAAATCTGGCATATCTGACTATTCAGATCCTTAAGGGGTTTTGGCTGCATTTGAAACAAAGTGTGACCAATCAGACAGAAATTCAAAAAACCCATCACTGCCTATATGCATTGCAAGAAGAGGCAAAGTATTTCCTGAGCATGCAATATTGGTATATGACGTTACTACAATAACTGATCAGCAACGTAAAGAGAAATCCAGTCCTCAAACTGCTATCTAAGCACAAAACAGCAATCTGTAACTAACTTTGCCTTGAGTCTTAACTTATATGGTGCATATAGAACTAAAACTCAAAGTGGACTAAAAAGAATACCAAGATCTATCCAAACAGACATTACTTCGAATGAACTATAAAAGATTAGATCTACCTAGCATAGCTAAATGATCACTTCAGACATCCATTATGTAGAATCAATCAAGTAGCTAGCAAATATGAGCTAAATCTCACTTCCATGAGACAAACACTCACATCTTAAAATATCCACTTCAAATGCCAATACGAAACAGATATCTACTTCATTATACCTTTTAATAAAGCCAACCTAAAGCTATCATCAACCAACCAACCCTACCTCAGCCCATCCTAATTTGGTGAAAAGATCAAATTTTCAGCTCAGAGCGGAGCTCACACTCCTATACTTCCACCACCCACCCATCTAAGCTCCAAATTCTGATCAAATAATTGAACTTCAACTAAAAAACAATCGCTTTTTGATGATTAGTGAAGTGGTATTTTAATTGAAAAACAAGATCGACTGGAAATCCAAATGGGTATACCCAAAAGGCCAAAACTACTACTTTTAACACTAGAAACTAAATATTAACAACTTTTAGCCATCATAATTTCATGAAAATTCTATAACGAGATTCAAGAATGAATCCAAACTAGTCTGCTGGCAAACACCGTACCGCACTATCAGAATCATGGCGGATTCGAACCAGCTCATTCCGCTTGTGCGATCCGGCAACCATCCCAGCACCGGCCTCCATTTCTTCCCCGAGAAACAGAGGACTTCACTTCACCGAACACCCGCAATTACTTCTGATGAATTACAACAGCAATGCGGATTCAAAATTGTGGGATGATTAGACCATTAATGTTAATGGGGACTAAATAAATAAATCACGATCTGGGTCTATCACAAGAGAAGAGAGAAGGGATTCTTTGGACTGCTGTTAACTAGCTGTCGGCTGTCGGCTGTCGCCGTCTTATTGCTTCTTCACCTCTCTACTTCTCTGTCGTTTTATCACCTTCTTCATTTCTTCAATTTATTATTTTCCCTTTTTTTATTAATTTATTAATTAGCTGTAATGATTATTACCGGCTGAACCAGTCTCCCATTCGCGGCTGGCTTACCGACTCTTCTAAGCCAGCCTACTGCCTACGTATTTGACAAAATCCGCATAATAAAAATACAGAAACGAAAATTTATATACATCAAAATTTTCTATTTTTCATTATTGAGCTCAAATCTCTCTCTCTCTAAATACATAGCCCTATAAATACATGTTAAAAGACTTCTAATAAAAAAATAAGTTTCCAGACTACATTCCATAAAATTTCTTTCATAAAGACTTATTCTCATTTGATCCAATACCTATATATACATACACTATATTTGGTAATTAAAGGTTAATGAATTAGTTACTGGCTATCAGATAACGAATTGTGTTAATGATCACTATTTAATATAAAAGCTTATAAAGACATGTACATATTTAATTAATAGTTTTTTCCATGTTTTATTCCAAGGCTATTTGATCATTTTCACACTTGCTTCTTTTGTTCCGTACTTTTTAATAATACAATAATTATTACTTATATAATAATTGTATTTAATAAAATGATTTTATGTATAAATTTTAACAAATAAATAATAATAAATTTATTCCCTTTTATAATATAATAATTTTAATATAATTACAAAATTTTATGTTAAAAAACATAAAAGTACTACACTTGCTCTATTTGGCACGCCTAGCTGAAAGTTGAAAAATTAGTAACATGATTTGGGATGAAACAATTAATGAAAAACATGATTTACCAAACAATCAAATCCATAGTACACAAAAATGACCCCCTCCCCTCACCCCACTCCCTAAGAAAATGGTTACAATACGGTATTCTTATGTAGATAAATAGTATGATTGGAAAAGTTAATGTAACAATAAAACTTTTTATATTTATTAGTTACTTATGAATGAGTCAATCTCATCAATATTAACAATTAGCATTACTCAATAAACTATATGTACATATTAACTATATTTACACATCCATACTTTATGCCATATAAGTCTAGACTAGACCTAATAGCATTGACTAACCGTGCATTCATAAAAGCAATTAGATTAAAGTAATTAAAATTAAAATAGTTGTGATAGGATAAAAATGGTTAAATGATTGTAGTCACATTGCTCTCAATGAGTTTTTATATTTCCAATTGAAATATTTAAAACTAAAGTGAGAATTAATTGTCCTAGTTTTTTTAACTACATATAAAGGAAAGCAATAAGAAAGATTCATCATATCACTCTAATCATCCTAAACATTATCCCAAACGGGCCCTAACTTGTTTTATCATACTGCCTACTTAATCATTGAACTAAATCTGTACGAACTTTTATCATATAACTTGATATATTTAAGATTGACATCAAATAAGATAAACTGAAACAAATTCAAACCAAAATAAACTTAAAAACTAAAAAAGAAAAAAAAAATCTTTCTATCTTATTTTATTTGTCTTATTTGTTTTAATAGTCAAATAAGCCGCACTTCTTTATTTTGTTTAATATTTAAAAAATTGTTTTTATATATTGATAGTATAAAATACGGCTGTATTATTGATCGTACGTATAAAGGTGAGTTACATGATTCGGCTAACCAGGTAGGTCACCGCAACTATAGACATATGCCTTTACAAAGAAACTCGATAAGCGTGACAGTGGGCAAGAGGTTCTCGGACTCCAAGACGTACTTTCCTTTAGGTAAACAACCAAAAGTCCTCTCTGACTGCATTAAATGCGGTATTTATAGGGGTTCAGGGACAACCTCCAACATGATGGCCGTATGGCGACCATGCACTGGGCCATCGCACAGTCCGATGGAAAGGAACCACGTGGTAGCAGATTCCTTAGCAGTATAAGATCAATCAATCTTCCGATACAGATCGGTAACGACCTAAAGGGATTGAGAGGAGGTGATGTTCCGCTAAGGACTATACCTCCCCTGAGGGAACTCGGTGACCTCAATTGACCAGGAAAGTTTGCTAACCGACCCGAGCTTGACCGGTTTAGGCTGAGTGTAGCTCGTACTTAAGGGACTGGTCAACATGTTGACTCAAAGCATAGGGAATAATCCCTATCATATATAATTTTCAAATATAAAAACTTTGTATTCACTAATACTAAATTAATTAATACAATCATTTCAATTGAGACTCAATGAGCCCTTGAAGTGCATAATTTATACCATGTTTGATATTATGCTTCTCAAACAATTTGAATTAAGTTGTACTCTAAACCATAAGTTTATAATATATGGTAAAGAGTGCTAAAAAGGACTAAATTAATTTTGTTTTCATATATCAATCCATCTATATACGTACTACTCAAAATTCAAATAAGTCTCATGTGAAACAGTTTTATGTGAGACATGTAATAATTTTTTATCCAAAATATAATAATTTTTTATGTGACCATAAAAAAATATTACATTTTAACTAAAAAAAAAATTATTATGCATCTCATGTGAAACAGTCTCACACAAAACTTATTCTAAAAATTTGTCAAACAAAATAGAGTGCATTGCATGTTTAGAGAGTGCATTGCACGATTAAATAAATATGTCCAGTAAAAAATAGAAGTAAAATTATAAACAATTAAATGTATTAAAAAAAATTGCAATGTCGAAAAAGTGTGTTGCATATTTTCATAAATAGAAATATGATATTTTTATAAATAATTATTGTGTTATTACTAAATATCATCAAAATGTAAATGTATATTAATATATAAATATTTTTGTATATTATAATATTGTAATATTTGTCTTAATAAATAAATGAACTAAAAGAGTGGGTGACTCGAAGAAGCCAGCTATATTGAGCTAATGAGTGTGTTACCACTTACCAGGCTGTACTACCGGTTACAGCCGGTTGCTCTGCGGACAGCTAAAGTAGCTGTCGGTGCCCTCATTCCCATTTCTTTTTAACGGAGTACGATTTAACGGACAGACACAATATTAATCATTTTCGATGTGATTTGTAAAAATAGAAATATTGTATTCTCTTTGTCAAAATTCAAGTGTCTAATTCAATTAAAAATATAATTAAAGTTATTTATATTTTATATTTTTATATTGTTAAGTTTAGTATTAATATGCTAATGATGATCTAGCGGTATGAAGTGACTTTTTCAAATGGGAGATTATGGATTCGCAATAAGTTGAGAAAGCAGATATGAACAGATACTACATTGTAATTGAGTCAGTAATACTAAACAAAGTTTAGTATTAATATATAAAATTTATATATTTAAAATATTATTAAATATGAAAAATTAAATTTTAAAATTATAACAAAATAATTAAGGGAAAAAGTTAATTTTACTAATAAATACTCACTCCGTCCCATTTTATGTGTTGGGTTCGGTTAACGAAGCTTAACTGCAATTATTTACATTTTATTTTTTTATAATGTTAAGTTTAGAATTAGTATTTAAATTTATATATTTAGAAACTACACTGAAAATACTCTTAAACACAAAAAATAAAAATTAAATTTAAAAATTATAAGAAAGCGCTAATAGAAATAAGCAAAGAATAGTAAGTAGAACAGATAAAATGGAACATAGGGAGTAGGTCTGTTCCATAAAAATATGACATCTGTCTATTTATAGAGGTAAGAAACATAATCAAAATACTTCTGAAAGATAACGATAAGTAAGATCTCTATAATTGATGTATTTGACTTTAAATCTATTTGGACTTCAAGTTATTGTATTCTATAATAACAATAAAAATGTAATAAAAAAATGTGTCCAAATATAATGCATAAAGATTCAACAAAGAAAAAAAATACATTTCAAAATTTAATTTAAAAGTGACATTTTTTGTGCATATTTAAATACAAAATTATGTTTTAAAATAAAACAATATTATTCACCAAAATTTAATGTCAATTCCTTCTAAAATTTTATTTTCAAGTATAATTAAGACCAATTTATTTATTTTACAAACATAATTATTAAGTATAAAAATAATGACTTTATATATAAAATACTTGGCTAAAAAATATTGGCAACCTGGTACCGTCTATGTATATGTATGTATGATTTTGTTTGTGTGTGTGTGTGTGGGGGGGGGGGGGGGGGGGGGGGGGCTTAGGAGAAAATAGGAGCCCAGAAATAACTAAGAACCCATCAACGTGTCCAGATTCAACGAATCAGATGTAATTTTTAAAAACGATGCGGTAGCATTTTCGTAAGTAACTCAAACTTTGATGCAAGTAACTAGTGCAAGTTTGCAAGTAAAAGGTGCAAGTAAAATAACTTACAAGTGCTATTTTTACTAAATAGTGCAAGTAATTTACCTTGTTAACATTCGTGCTCCTACTGATAAAGTCTTTCACATATGTGCACTTAATCAATAATGTTTGGTGCAACTAATGATAACGTTAGGTGCACTTAATATTGATGCTCAGTGTACATTATTTGTTGCACTTGTAATACATTTTACTTGCACTTAGGTGCACTATATGAAACTGTTACTTGCATTTTGATGTTCAATTATTTACGAAAATGTCACCGTATTTTTTTTTTTAAATTAGTGTTTCTGATTCGTTAGATCTGGATGCGTGGATAGCTGTGAGTGGTTCTTAGTTCTCTCCTGGCAACTCGTTCTCACCTTAATGACTTCCTCTCTCTCTCTCTCTCTCTCTCTATATATATATATATATATATATATATATATATATATATATATATATATATATATATATATAATTGCAATATATTTCTCAAACAAATAATTACCCAGAGTATCGCGTTATCGATCCGCAGGGAAGCGGGGCGTATCAAGCACTAGTTACTAATTTATTCTTGTGAAGCTAATCCTAACGAAAATCATGGATGGTTGATTAATTATAAAACTAATTTAAATAGCAAAGTAGCCAGTTTGTGAAAACAATAGAGAGAGTGTGTGAGATTCCTGAGATTCAAGT